CTAACTAGTTCCATTTATATTTCCCCATTATATTGTACAGTTTTTACTGTATTACCATTTATCAGTTTCTTTTTTGAAGCCTGGAAATAATTAAAGGACTCTGCGACTACTTCTGGGAAGTTGGCCCCCCACCATTGAAAAAGGACTTTGTCAGCTGCCAAGTTACAAAACCAGGTACCAATACAAACAGATTTCAGATGCATTTTTAAATACATATATATGGATGGGAATGAATCTCACATTAATGAATGAGAGACCTTACATGTGCTTATAAGGAGTTCTGCTACTTTCCATATTGCCAATTGATTTTATAGTGGAATCTCAACTTTCTTCATGGTATCAGAGTAGCCATACGAGACCTTACATTTATGGTGGAACTCAACTTTCTTCAGAACTAATCCATGTATAATTAGTAAAAGTCAGGTAGTAATTAATTAAACTCCTTTGCTTGTGGGTAGCATATATTATGTATGTATCCCTTGAGCACTGAACATTATGTGCAAATTTCCAACGGATATATCTTCATTAATGGGTTCAAAAACACAGATTGCTTTGCTTTTGAACAATTAGGCGTGCGCCTAATTAACAACCGACGAGATGATGTCTGCATATACTGCACATGACTTGTGGTTTTAATCAAAGAATTTTGTATTGATCACACATAAGCCAACAACTGTTGTGCACGTTTAAACGGACTAAATCTGTGATTTCCGATGTAAGATTCTATTCTTCAACAATCTGTTCCAGCATCATTAGGTTCCAACACAGGTCGCACTTGGTGCGATGGCTAGTGCCTTCGCCCATGAGCGGTAGGTCTCGGGTTCGAGACTTGGGAGCAGCCTCTCCATAAATGGGGGTAAGGCTAGCCGACATTCACCTCTCCCAGACCCTGCATAAAGCGGGAGCCTTGTGCACTGGGTACGACCTTTTTAGTCTTATCTCATCAAAAGGTCCCGATACATTTTACAGTGTTGAACAACACTACTTACTCTTTATTTCATAAATAATTTGTTCTACCGTTCTAATTAAGGTGGGAAATTGAATTCATCCACGTCCATGACTTGAATCGAGCCACAAAAACACCATTCATAGCAAATACTTCAAAAACAAAAAATCAGAAGTAATGTTCCTAGAAACTTACAAAGCAATATAATTGAAGACATAGTACCATATGGCCAACTGCTAAGTGTAGATATGAAGTACATAACTCCCTCTAAAAAAAGTTGACTATTCTGGGAAACTTTGACCATTCATGCAGCCTACTGACTATCTATATTTGTAGGTAAAAAGTAAATTCTTTACATTAATGTTCAAGAGTTTCAGTATTTCATCACTATCTATCTATACTAAAGGGGTGGCTGCAAAGTTACGTGTATATTAAGAGAAATATTGTTCAAGTTCTGCATTCATTGAACAATTCACAATTCACAGTTCAAAAACCTAGGGCCATGGAGATCCTCATGACAATGTCTCTACTCGTTCTTTTCGGCTTCTTCTCCTTCTTGAAGTTGGTTTTCCGAAGGGGAGATCAGTGCTGTTACCTGCTGGCTTACGAGTGCTACAAGGCGAAAGAAGACATGAAGATCAACAGCGATTCCTGCGCGAAGATCGTCTTGCGGAACAAGAATCTGGGGTTGGAGGAGTTCAGGTTTCTCTTGAAAACCATTGTCAATTCCGGTATTGGAGAAGAAACTTCCTGCCCAAGAAACATAATTGAAGGCCGAGAAGAAAATCCAACCAGGGCAGACGAGCTTAATGAGATGGATGGCATCATTTTCGACACGCTTGACAAGCTTTTCGCAAGGAATGCTGCAATTCCTCCTTCACAAATCGACATCCTTGTTGTCAATGTGTCGATGTTCTCCCCCGCACCCTCACTAACGTCGCGCATAATAAACCGGTACAAGATGAGGGAGGACATCAAGAGCTTCAACCTCTCGGGAATGGGCTGCAGCGCAAGCCTCGTTGCCATTGATGTTGTGCAGAACTTGTTCAAGTCGCATAAGAACGCAAATGCGGTTGTTGTCAGCACAGAATCCATAGCTCCAAACTGGTATTGCGGCAAAGAAAAATCCATGATGCTCACGAACTGTCTGTTCCGCTCGGGAGGTTGTTCGATGCTGTTCACAAATAACAGAACCCTACAGCACCAAGCCAAGTTGAAGTTACAGCATTTGGTACGTACCCATATTGGCTCGAACGCTGAAGCGTATGAATGCTGCATACAGCTAGAAGATGAGAGTGGATACCAAGGGTTTCGCCTCACCAAACACCTCACGAAAGCAGCTGCTATAGCTTTAACAATGAACCTCCAAGACCTAGTCCCAAAAGTGCTTCCACTGAGAGAATTATTTCACTACCTGATGGCCTCTAGGGTTCGGAATAGAACTGGTACTAAAAGCCAAAAGCTAGAAGCAGTTGGTATAGGGCTAAATCTCAAGGCAGGAATAGAGCATTTCTGCATTCACCCTGGTGGAAGAGCAATCATAGATGGAATTGGGAAGAGCTTAGGTCTAAGGGATTATGATCTTGAGCCGTCTAGAATGGCACTTCACCGGTTTGGCAACACGTCAGCAGCCGGATTTTGGTACGCTTTGGGATACATGGAGGCAAAGAAGAGGCTTAAGAAGGGCAACAAAATTCTGATGACTGGATTTGGAGCAGGTTTTAAGTGCAACAACATTGTGTGGGAAGTATTGAAGGACTTGGATGATGCCAATGTTTGGAAAGATTGCATAGAAAGTTACCCTCCTAATAATACTCTGGGCAATCCTTACATGGAGAAGTATGGTTGGCTCAACGACGAATATCTAAGCTTTGTTAGGCTCGATCTCTCCCAAATTTTCGCTTAAACTTGCTTTTTCCCAGTTAATTTTCGTCATTTTCTTTATTTGTATGCTGCATGGTGTGTGATTTTGGTTAATGTTTGTGAGCTGCTTGAAGGGTTTGTATAATTTCTTCAACAGATCATCAAATTGTTGTTCATTGTGCTTGAAAACTTGTGCTATCTATTTTGAAGCTTCAACATAATAGTTCAAAGTGATTCGGGTAATATTCATCTAATGAATGGTCAAGCTATATTCTGACCTCCATGTTTAATTCTATGAATCGTAGTCAGATCTTTGGTGTTTTTGACTTGCCTAATAAATTCTGAAAGAAATTTGAACTGCTAGTCTGCTACAAGTCTATAAAGTAAAAGCCTGAAAAGCATGGAAAATTTTATCTTAGAACCATACTTAACCGCACCTCCTCGTTGGCTAAGTTGTGATCAACGGATTTTTACTGTACACACGTCTCAAACAGAATTGTTAATGTTTTTTAACACCGTTAAACATTTAAAGATTTTTTTTTGGCAAAAACATATCCAATCGCGTATGGTAAAAATTCGTTAATCGCAATCGAGTAAACAATGAGGTGTAAGTGCTCAAACCCTTAAACTTAGTATGGTTCTTAAACTTTTTACATGTATGTGTGTGTGTGTGTGTGTACCAAAAGAATGGCAAGAAAAAAGGTTACTTTTGAGGTGAAATTATATTTACCATATCTGTTTTTTAGGGGCACATTTCCATACCTTCTCAATGTCTCTTTTGTGTTACAGATCTGTATAGCCTTGAAAGAGTAGCTTCTGAGGTTCACATTCAATATCTATGCACCTCGTTTAGAAATGGAAATTGGCTGATATTCTGTGAAACATGTTACATTGCCATTACCAAAAAAAAGAAAATTGAGGAAGTGGTCAAGAACTTACAATTTAAATTTACAAATATCTTGCAGCACTGTTTCTGCATAACCATTGATCCAAGATAGTTAAGGATTTATTATAAAATTAGTTAGTAATATCGAGAGTAGTTTAATTACTTATAAGCATATGCGAGATCCTTTCTTTTATTAATATGTGATTCATTCTCAACAAACTCATTTACGTATGAAGAATTTTTAAGCCTAACACTTGAACAACACAAATTGAATGATGTCGAGCATGTATGATGGATGAGCTTCACAAGTGAGACAACTTGATCTAATACTAAAAAGTAAGTTGAGGTTCCACCATAAAACCAATGATAATAATAAAAAAATATTTCAACTACATGTAAACACATGCAAAGTCTATTTTCTTGTTAACTAGAAATTCATTTTCAACGTAATAATAGAACTGACACATTTCAGAAACATAATAAATTTCTCCTGCCTATGGTCTTCTGCCATGCGTCGTCTCAGTCAAAAGTTGGTCCTTTCCTTGCCATCAAAGTAATAAATTGGAAAATAAGAGAGTCACAAAACCATAAATGCCAAGGCAGCATAGCCTGTAGCAGAACTGTGTGCTGCAGTAATGTCTGCTTTTATCTTCATCAACCAAATTGTTAGAAAATGGTGATAAAATTAGGCGTTTAAACTTCCATTTTAACACTTGAACGTTTGACCAAACAAACACTTCAAACTAGTTTTCAAAAAAAACAAACACTTAAAACTACTTCCACCGCATCTTCAATACAAGCATGGCAAGAAAATATCAAACTCTGGTTGCCAAATGCACATTGAACATCCTCCAAGCAAATGTCTCACCCAGGAAGCTTTAGAACTATAAACAATGTGTAAAATCATTTGTAAAAGTTCACTTTTCAAAGAAAACTAAGTTGTATCTTCTTGGGTTCAAAATGAAAACTGATTTCATGTTAGTTTTGGGATGACAATTTCGAATACAACATGTTACACGACTTAAAACTTGTATAAATATAAAACTCGTTGTGTACACGATTAAAACTGTTAAAGTAATATTATATTTAGTAAAATGATGACTTTTCTCTTATTTTTTTATGAATGTATTGACACCATCTCAAAGTTTTGGTCATTGAGTTGGGCAACAAAATTTTCCATTATCTATTCTAAAGTTGAGGAGGGTAATTTTGTCCTATGGGTTTGGGACGGGTTGGGTGGGTTGTCGTGTCATTCGGGGAGGGTTTAGGGGATGGGACCCATGTTGCGTTTGAGAGAGAGAACGAGCAAGAGAGAGAGGGAAATGGAGGATTGGGGGACAGAGAGTTGATTGCGGGATTGACAGATTGAGGGATTTTTCTGCTTTTCTGCTTTTCTACTTTTTGAATCTTTACAATTTTTCTTGTCAATCGATTCTGTCTTCTTCACTTTACCTTTCAATTTGGTTTTGTCCTTCACAAATCTCTGCTTCTGTCCGTCTTCATTTCGCTCTCTTCGTCTCAAATCATGTGTTTTTTTTTTGCTTCACAGAATAGTCACGAGCAAATCATGTTTTGGTTTATTTAGAGATTTTGTTTCCAGTCTCCATTTGGTGCCTTACTCAGATCGACTCTGCACTCATCATTGACGACTCCACCTTCACGAAGGACTCCACAAATCCCAAGACCAATAAAGGTAAAGCACGTCCACCTCTCCCTTTCATTCGTTTTCATGGCCCAATGTCAAATGAAGCAACTCTGATTCATGCATGTGTGTTTGGTGTATTTTGTAAAGGGGCTTCTCAATCTGTTGTCTGGACTGAAGAAAAAGCGGATAAAGCTCTCGAAAATTTCAGATATGAGAAAAGACTATGTCTACATTGAAGTCCAAATAAGATGGATCCGTGAAACTATGAAAGCTAATATATGAATAACATTTTTGGTATGAAAGCCCTAAAATTGAGACAAAAAAGGAAGGATGGCAGACATGAAGAGGGCTTTGGTGCGAGGATATGCTGTGACGGCTTTAAATAATGATAGAGGTCAAATAACCATATCGTTACTATTATTTTTTGTAATTATATTTGTATGAATTTTTCATTAAAATTTTCGACATAATTTCACTATATATTATGATATCTATTGTATTTGTTGTATAAGATGTGGTTTGAGCAGTACTACTCATATTGTCCAAGTGCATTTAGAAGGTTTTAGTGCACTTCAAGGGATCTCGGGCTCACAGAAATTTCTGATGCACAAGGCGTAGATCACTTGCCATCTGCACATACTTGGTAACTTCTACTCTAATGTCATTTTTTTTCTTGAATATGTTCTCTATTATCTGTTTGAGTTATCAGTTGCCATTTGAAACTACTTTTCAAATAACTTTTAGCATCCAAATTAAGTTTATCCAATTGCGAGTGCGGAGCGCTTATTAAAGAAATTTACTAAATCCGGTATGAGATGTGAAAAGAGGTACATGGTCTTTGACTTCGTTTGTTGGTTTAAGTTGTTTACTGTGCATTCCATATTAGTTCCATTTAAATTATATCAATTACAGATCATATGGGCAAAGGTTTCCTAAGTTGGTAAATGGTTTTACCAAGTCTTCTTACTTATAGGTAATAAGTCATTTATTATTGTTATTGGATTTGATTTGATTTGATTCCAATGGGTTGCACATTTACATTTTGGATTGGATTCCTTTGCTTTATAGACAATTTCTAAATTTCCTTTTCTATTTCTCTCCTAATAATGAGTTTTCTAGAATTTTTATAGGGAGAACTGCGTGTGTGCAAAAATATGGTGGAAGGAATTGATGGATCTTAATTTTATTCTAATTATTTGTGATTAAGCTGATTAAGTGATCAGACGTGTAATACTTTGATTTATGCCAATTAGGCTGATGATGGTGTTCTAAGAATTGGAAAAAATTGATTATTTCTCTTTTAATTTCCTTTTTATACATATTGAAATATTTATTTATAGAAAAAGTTTATTGTTCATTCTATTTTAGTGATTAGAATCGTTTAACTTTTAGGTTTTTTCTAGAAAGATATATGATGACAAAGTGTGTCAATATAATGGAAATAAAGCGAAGATTATGGAGTCGAGTACCCAGATGAAGAGATTAAGGAATGAGTTTTGGATCCTAATAATAGCTGCTCTTTTCCTTGGAATGGTCAATGCTTTCGATTTTTGGGTAGAGAATTTTAATGAATTTATATGTTTTCCTCTGCTTTTCAGTGTTTTTAGGTGATTAGAGCTAAACATAGAGAAAGTTTTTGAGACTTTTAGACATGTTGGACCTCTCAAGGTTGATGTGGTAGGTATTATGGAGTTATATGTGCAGTGGTCAAATTATATTTATGTCTGTCGAATTCAATTTATTACTGGTTATGCTATAACTTACTACTATTAATTTTTACTCATTTTTTGAAAGATAAACTGCGCAAAGATTTGCTTGGCCACTTTGATAAATTGAAGTGATTAGGAATTAGGACTTGGTTATATCCAACAATTCATTGCCTAAATACAGAATTCATATAGAAAATGCAATCTAGAAAATTCATTCATGTATAGTGTATAACTTGAAATGCAATCTAGAAGGGTAAATCGAGTGACTTCTTCTTTGTTTTAAGTATTGACAAATGCTATTGAGTAACTGTTCACAAACTAATTAATACAAAGTACTTTAAAAAGAGAGAACCATGTTATGCAATGTGTATAATCAGTGTACGTATAACACAGTATGTGCGGGTGTGCGTGTGTGTGTGTGTGAGTATAATGTGTGTGAATATTTAATTAGCTCGCAAAGTTTGTTTGTTCCTGTGAATTTTAATTGTACTAAGCATGTCAAATTGCTATGGATTTGCTTTGTTTGTGAATTTTAGAAATTTGGAACGTTGGAGGGAGCAATTGGGTCGTTGGTTTTTTGAGATATATTCAATTACAGTAATTTTGTTACTATATTGTTGAATTTTTATTACTAGAGAATTATGATTTTGTTACCGTTATTTTTGGGTTTTCTCCTATGTGAAATAGAGAATTGGGCCTCAAATTTTTAGGGCATTCTCTAATTTTTGTGATATTTGCTGTGTATTTTGGGGCATGCTTTAATTTTTGTGATGTGAAATCCCTGTAAGCGCCTCTAAACATTGATCATTTGTTTTGTTGATTAGTCTTAACGCCAATACCTTATCCTAAGCTAGGCATCACAACATCTGTAATTCCTTAATTCATTTATGAGAGCATATTCGTACTGCTGTGCTATCGTTATTATTTAATACACTGCTTAATTCGAATTTTGATATAAGTTTTCATTAGAATTTAGAACCTTTGTTATGATCAATAATGTATTGTTTTTTGAAACGAAATGATGTATTGTTTTGGTCGATGATGTATTGTTATGATCATTAGAATTTCATATACACCTGTGATTTAAATACCATTGAATATTTAATATGCATTTGCAATTATTTTGGTAAAGAAATTGAAAAGGAATGTAAAGGTCTATTCCTTTTGAGCTGGGTTGCTTGCCCCTCATTATCATTTTCTTAGATTCTAACTTGCATTAGTTATTGGATCACCCAATACGTCAAAACGATCACTTTCTATATCACGTGTTAGTTTATTCACTTTGTGGATAGCTTCTCTCTCCAATCTATATGCTCAACTTGGAATCAACATTTTTGGTATGCAAGATTTCTGATATGCTTCAACTTCAGGTACTCATGATGTGGATGCAAAGAATATTAAAATGAGCATGTTTAGCTGCCAAAAAAAAAAAACAATGACAGGGATTATGAAGGGAGAGGAAGAGGAGGGAGATGACGAGTAAGTAGTTGTTTTGGAATAAGTTGCAGTTGTAGAACTTAGAAATGAATTTGGAGACCGGATGTATATTTATACTCAAGTGTAGTTTTTGCCTTTCATTTTTTCAATTTGTTCTGTTAATGGTTAAGAAGACATGAATCACATGTATGTAAATATTGCATATCGTATATATACGTGAAACTTTTGACATGTTTTATATGATTTAAAAACCTGCAACATTGCATGGACACCATCACTAGTTACCATTGTTCTAAAAATCTCCGCCTAGCGCTGCCTAGGCGGGGCAGCTGGTCACCAGCTCGATTAATGCCTAGGCGTTTGAAAATTAAGAAATGACACCTAGACCTGCTGAGGGGCCCGCCTAGATCGTGTAGGCACCCACCTAGCCCGCCTACGTTACGACTCACTTAGACAGAAAATAGATAATTTTAATTTTTTAATAAATTGTGACTTGTTGAATACTTAAATGAGCATACATTATATGCTTGTTCCCCATGTTTTTATTATGCTCCAATACTTCATAATATATATGTCATTCTATTTTGTAGTTTATGATGAAATTATATACTTTAAGTATAAATAGACATTTATTTACACGAAATATAATTGATTTACTTAAATCCGCCTAATTTACTTAGGTGCCCGTCTAGACCCCGTCTAGCACCTAGCGTGTTTTAGAATCTTGCTAATTACAGACTAACTTGGTGGAGTTGATACGAAAATGGGTGAGGATTTTGATGGGGATAAAGATCAAATGAGCAAAGGTACAAGTGGGGATTGAGCCCTGAAAGGAAATTGGAGGAAGTGAAAATGTGATGGAATCATCATGGACGAGCAAGAATGCTTTTGTAGGTTGATAACCGTTGAACAAAAACTATGCTGCATAAGTCCCACATTGACAGAGTAGCCAGATGTCCAGTGGCGCTAGTATAAATGAAGTCAACATGTGACTGTTCAAAACACAGAGCCATGCGTCTAGCACAAAGCAAACTATTCTTTCTCTTTTTACTAAAGAATATTGTGTGCTCGTCACTACAATGGCATACGCCTATTTTTTGTGGGTATATAAGCTCATAGTGGGCCTTTTTCGTCCCACGACCATACAACCTTAAGCCCAAAACTTGATGTCATGTTTAAGCCCACTAGCGAGTGTTAAGCTGTGATTTTTAACTTCAGAGATTCATGTCTCTTGGAGCAAATAATGACCGATGATGAAGATGATTCATAGCTTAGGAATACTGCAACTTCTTCAGCAGGACAACAACGATACATTCCCATGAAACTAATCTCCTTTATAATCATTAAAATCATAGATTGGAAATCTAATTAGACTGCGTTTATCAAATCACATACCAATTTTTAAACCAATACATATACGTTTGAAATAAAAAAACGAACACATATACTAGTTTCTAGGAAATCTCCTTCCTTTGGAATCCAAACCAATTGAAAATTTCAATTTTGGAAGACATATATAGTTGCATAGTTCACATATACCGATAACTTTTTTGAAAATACTTTTAAAATAATTAAAAGTGTTTTCAGATCCCAAGAAATGTTTCTAAACCATATTTGACAAAATATATATATATATATATATATATATATATATATATATATATACAATATATATATATATAAGTGTTTTTTTGATAGAAAAGCACTTGCATTTCTATTAAATACCACAAGTGCTTTCTGAAGAAGCATTTTCAAACTATAAGTCTTCAACATAATTCTTGTCAAGTAATTTCCACTTAGGTTCGCAATCAAGGCCTAATTTCATATAAGAATTGACAAAGGAACTTAGCTGATATTTCAACGGGCAAAGAATTTTGGTGCGGAATAGCTAAATAGACCAAAGGATTTACGGGATTTGAGCAAAAAAATTGGGAGTTAGCAAAAAAGTGGAAGCCAAACTATTTGCCCCACACCAGCCACAGGGGCAAACTATCTACCTTCGCTCATATAAAATATTGTAGGCTGCGGAAGATTAACTTACGGAACCAAGCGTTGAGCACAAAGCGAACTATTCTTTCGCCTTTTACTAAAGAATACCTTGTGCTTGTCGCTTTAAATGGTATACGCCTATTTTTGAAGTTCAGCTTGTATTTTCTTTAGCTGTTACCCTTTATGCTCTGGAACTGGAACTAAAGAGTGAAAATTTAGAGTAATCTCCATAAGTCATACACGCCAAATATCACTCGTTAATGTGAAGGAAAACGAGGTGTGCTGCTGCTGAGGTTGGAATATGCAGTGTTTTCTTATTTTTATTACAAGTGATATTCTGGAGGAAAGAAACCAGTAGTCAATGACTTGCTTTGCTGTGGAGTTGGGTGTATACCGCCACGTCAATGAACACTGGCAGCATGCTTAACACATGCAAGTCGGACATGAAGTGGTGTTTCCAGTGGCGGTTTTCTCTAACTATGAGAGTAATGTACTAGCAAAGGGAATACAAATATATCAAAAAGAGAGTTTGCTAGCATAGGAAATACTGATATAGATCATGCCCTCACATCTAGAAAATTAATGAACTCTTATTTTTATAAAAAAAGACCTTGAACACCTGATCGATCAGGGTTTATTTATGAGATACATCCAGACTACAGGGCTTGACAAACTTCATACAAACTTCAAACAACCACACTTCTCCACAAGGTAAAAGAAAAACGCAAACTTATTAAGTGCTGAAAAATCAAACAGCTAACAATATTATTTTTACCACATTTTTCATACCAAATATTTTACCACTTTTCTAAAGAGATGAGACCCACATGAGTTGGTGGATCTTACTTCTATTAGAGAAATGATATAAATGTAATATGAAAAATATTGTAAGTGTAGCATTACTCAATAGCAAATAGGGAAAAGTCAAACCTAACAAGGCCTAGATAATCATCATTGATCCAGCCATACTTCTCCATGAACGGATTGACTTGGTTTTGATCCCTAGGGTAACTATCTATGCAGTCTTTCCACGCATTGACATCATCCAAGTCCTTCATCACTTCCCACACAATATTGTTGCACTTAAAACCAGCTCCAAATCCAGTCATCAGAATCCTGTTCCCCTTCTTAAGCCTCTTCTTTGCCTCCATGTATCCCAAAGCGTACCAAAATCCGGCCGCCGATGTGTTTCCGAACCGGTGAAGCGCCATTCTTGACGGCTCAACGTCATAATCACTTAGCCCTAAGCTCTTCTCCATCCCATCTATGATTGCTCTTCCACCAGGGTGAATACAGAAGTGCTCTATTCCTGTCTTGAGATTCAACCCTAGTTCCCCAGCTGCTTTTGGCTTTTGGCTTGTAATACTAGTTCTAATATTGTTAAGCCTAGAGGCCACCAGATACCTAAGTATTTCTCTTAGTGGAAGCATTTTTGGTGCTAGAACTTGGAGGTTCATTGTAAAACCCAGAGTTGCTGCTTTTACTAGGTATTTGGTAAGGCGGAAACCTCGATTTCCACTCTCATCTTCTACCTGTATGCAACAGTTATATGCTTCTTCGTTCGAGCCGGTGTGCATTCGTACCAAATGATTTAATTTCAGCTTGGCTTGGTGCTTTAGGCTTCGGTTGTTCGTGAACAGCATCGCGCACCCTCCCGAGCGGAAGAGACAGTTTGTGAGCATCATGGATTTTTCTACGCCGCAATACCAATGAGGAGCCAACGATTCCGTGCTTACAACGATGGCATTCGCATTCTTGTGAGACTTGAACAAGTTTTGTACAACGTCAATGGCAATGAGGGTCGCACTGCAGCCCATTCCCGAGAGGTTGAAGCTCTTGATGTCGTCCCTCATCTTGTAACGATTCACTATACGTGAAGATAGGGAGGGTGCAGGGGAGAACATCGACACATTGACGACAAGAATGTCGATTTGCGACGGAGAAATTGAGGTAGCCCGAGCGAAAAGCTTGTCCAGCACGTCAAAGATGATGCCATCCATCTCCGCAAGTTCATCTTCTAGGGTTGCAGTTTCTTCTCGGCCTTGGATGATGTTTCTTGCGCAGTAAGTTTCCTCGCCAATGCCCGAATGGGTAATAGTTTTCAAGAGAAACCTGAATTCTTCCAGTCCTAGATTCCTGTTCCGCAAGACGATTTTCACGCATGAATCAGTGCTGAGCTTCAGGTCGTCTGGTGGCATGTGGCACTCGTAGGCCAGCAGATAGCATGCCTGGTCTCTCCTTCTGAGAAGTAACTTACAGAGGCAGGAGAAACCATAGAAAAGAGCCAGCAAACACGTTGCCATCAGGATCCCCATGTGTGTGTGTGAGAGAGAGAGAGAGAGAGAGAGAGAGAGAGAGAGAGTTTAGAATTGGGAAGTGTCGAATGATCAGTTGCATGTATACAGCTTTCAACGATCTATTTCTCTTATAAATAGATGTTTAAGATAGAGCTAGTGTATCATGTAGTAGGCCTCATTAAGGTGTATAGTTAGGTAGTAGTTAGGCCAACCACTAATAATAATTAGTAGGGTAAGAAGGCCTTGACATTTAGCACCTTATACGAATGGAGAAATTTTTCAGTGTACCAGAACACGACTCGGGACACTAAATGTTATAATATAAGTGTTTAATTTTTTTTCAATTATCCAACCACTTGTATTATGACACTTAATATACCGAACCATGTTCCGGTACTGAAAAATCTCTTATATACAAGTTGTGTGTTAGCTTTCTCCACTCAAATATTGCGTGGGCTAGTCTTTTTTTCATTGAATAAGGTATTTTTCTTATCATTTTTTTAACAAATTCAGGGATTGAACAATGCATGGGAAATGTCTTCTTCATGAAAACTTGGCTCGGGACTTACAATTTTAACCGTGGAGCTATGTCGTTTGTTCTCTCGGGTTGGATTGGAGATCACTCATTAGACTCTAAACTTTCTATATTTAGAAAGCAAAATACACTTATGAGGAGTGTAGAATGAGATTTTTGGAGAGCCAAAAACATTTCCCATCCGAAAATGGTATGATGAATTTGATGGTATTATTAGGTTGGATTGAGGTAAAAGAAATATATGAACTCTTGTACGAAAAATTGGTTATTAAAACTCAACAGGAAAATTGCCTTGACAGATAGGATATTCCTCAACTTACTAGCACTGCCATTAATGTTGAAACTCTCATGTAGCTTAGGATACTACAACAACAATAAAATATTATCTCACTAAGTGAGATCGGTTGTATGAATCATAGGACGTTATTGTGCTTGATTTTGTGCCAAGACTTCCGTTAACTTCAAGTATTCTATGACTTTTCTTAAAGCTTATTTCCAACTACTAGGTGTAGCTTAGAATACTAATAAAAAAAAAACCAATATATGTGCATCCTGTTGTGAATAATATGTGGATGACCCACATAAATAGTTTGTTACTATTTATGCACAGTATTTTCACTATTCATTTGTGGAAAATTTGTAAAGTGAATAGTGTTCTCTTTGCTTATAAAATGAATGAGAGGTGAAGAAGGAGGTGAGATACGAATGAGGATAGAAGCAACATGGCTGAGAAGAGAGAAAAGAGAGGAAGAGGAGAGGAGATAATATGAGATACGAATGAGGATAGAAGCAACATGGCTGAGAAGAGAGAAAAGAGAGGAAGAGGAGAGGAGATAATAGAGAGAGTTATCTTTGTACTCCTATATTCCAAATTATAATGAAAGCACCATTGATGCCCCGAGGACGTACTTCAATCACACTGACTGTAGAGGAACCTCATAAATTTTGAGTCTTATTTCATTTATTCCACTGCACACACCGTCGATTTTACAACATGTCCTTATTTTTTTTATAAACTAAATGCTCTTCTAATATTCTAGTCCACGTTCTGTAATTGGTGACATTGAAATCCTTGATTCTTAATTTCTTTGAAAAACAAATTGTTGTTATGATCAAGTGAACCATGCCGCTTTTTGCTAAATACGAAAAAGGAAATGGAAATAGCTAAACGATGTTTTGTTTTCATCCGCTTATCATTTCTCTACTAAAAGGAAATACCTTGGTCAGACCACAATATAAAATGACGTTACGTTGCTATTTGTTTGCCATGTAAATTTGTATTAAACAAACTTATCAAAACGACG